ACAAAGAGTGCTTCTGCCGTAGCTGGTTTTTGACCGTCGTATCCTAGGAGACAGACGCCGGGATTCCTCAAGCACTCGACCCGTGAGGCGGTGAAATCTGTTTTAAGGAAACTGCTACTGTGCAGGCTTCGGTTTGGTTTCTTTATCATTTTATTATTTTGTGTATTTCTGTTGAAATTTAGTTGTAATTATTAGCATATGTTCTTGGTATATAATTTTGATTTCTTCATAAATCTATTTAATTAATTTCACAATTTGAACAACACAATTCGATCGATGTGAATGTTCACAACGTTGCTTCTTAAGGTAGATGATTTAGGATTTTGGAAATGTAATAGATTTTCTTTTTGGAATAAGAAAGAAATATTTTCCATTGAATAAATGAGAGATTTTCTCCATGAATAAAAAAGAAATAGTTTCTATAGAATAAATGAGAGATTTTCTCCATGAATAAGGGAGTGATTTTTTTCCTAGAATGAGAGAGAAATTTTCTCCATAAAATGAGAGATTATTATTATTTTTTTATTGTATATTGGTTTCAAAATGGAAATGCACCCAAAAAGTTTGGAAAGGTGATTTGGTTATATTACCTTAAACATGATCTAATTAAATTTTAATTTTTTTTTAAAGATTAAATAGAGCATAACATTTAGAAGTAAAACTTTCTGAAAAATGACCCTCTAAATTAATATAGTGTGCAATTCAAATTTGAAATGAATATGAATCATTTATCAATAATTTGAGGGAAAATTGTTTGAATTTATAATATTTTCAGACACTACGGACCAGAAGCTCCACGTTAACAGGGAGAGCAACCAAAAGATGCGGTTCAAAGAAAAAAAAAAGCAACAAAAAGATGACAATTGCAGCTTGTTACTTGAACATTATGTACTTGATAGTATCATTATCTCCTCTGTTACCTTGTGATTTGTTGTCAGTTAATGTAACAAATTATGATTTTTGATTCATTATTGATCATTATAAAAAAAAAAATATGTATGTAGGTAGCTGTTGATATTTGTTCAAGGGTTTTAGTGTAAGAGGGGTTAACTTGAACCCATTAAATTAATTGGGCCCAATCAAAGCTCAAAAAATTGGTGAGCTTTGAGAGATTATTGCCAAATGGGTCCAAGTGAATTCTATTAAACGGACCCATAAAAAAACCAATAAATTGGGCTGAGGAAGACTCATCAAGCAAATATTTCTAAAGAGAGTCCAACAAGCCTATCCGAGGAGGCCTTGATCATAGGGGCGTCCGAGGAGGTTAACCGTTGCTTTCAAAAGAGATGAAACCCTCAGAGGAGATCCATTCTCCAAGGTATTAGCTTAGTGTTGAAAAGGCTCAGAATCACGAACCTAGAGATCTATTTGAACTCGGACTCGAAAGGGTTCGGATCCACGAACCTAGAGATCCGAAACACTTGGTTTTGAACGGATTCAAATGCAATTAGAAGTCGCTTCGTTAATAAGTCCCAGAACACTTGCGGGCTCGGAGCTTTCCGGGATTTACCCACCAGAACCATGGGCATAATGGAGTAAGAACAAAGGACCCGATCTCAAGGATGGTGAGTGAAGATAAATTCACTCTTCGGTTAAACTAGCCTATACCTGGGTCGAGGTGGCGCAATCTAGGTGGTCTCTCAGACTCGACAATATATGTGGTAGGGCGTTCTCTTGAACTATCCCTGACCCTTCTGTGACAGGACGTCCTCTGGGATTACCCCTAACCCTTTGGGATGATTGGGGATCATTGATTAAGTATGGCTAAGAAGAAGGGTTCGCCGAGAGGTTGATCTCCTCTTCGGGATTTTCCTCATCGTCGGAGAGGTCACCTCCTCGGACAATGTGGTTAGAGAGAATATTCCCCACGTGCCTTGCACATGAGCTCCATCCTACATCATGAGGTGCCTATAAATAGCACTCACCCATAGCTTCACAAAGGGTTAGATTTTGGAGAGACATTTTTTGGAAAAGAACTAATTTCCCTTTTTCATTATCAGCCTTGAGAGTGAAAGTGGGAGATAGATGGGAGAGCCTTGCCATTATTTTCTTTCTAACTACTTTGCTTTCTTCTTTACCCAATCTCTTATCTCCATCATCTTTTTGCTATTGTGTTCTTAGTTGTGACTGTTGAAGAATCTAAGCCTCTCATCATTTCTAGAAAATTTGAGTTTTCTTCAAAGATCTTCGAATTTTCCAACAACATTCTTGAACCCTTTCATACATTCTTTCCAAAGAGTGGTCTCTCTAAAATCCATCCCTTGTAAAACTATGAATGGGTGTTATTTATAGGCATCTCATGATGTAGGATAGAGTCCATGTGCAAGGCATATGGAGAATATTCTCTCTAACCACCTTGACCGAGGAGGTGACCTCTTCGATGATGAGGAGAACCCCGAAGAGGAGATCAACCTCTCGGCGAATCTTTTTTCTTAGCCATACCTAACCAATGATCCCCAATCATTCCAAAGGGCCGAGGTAGTCCTAGAGGACCCCCCACCGCTAAATATTGCCAAGTCTCATGGACCCTTCAGGGCTGTGCCACCTTGACCCAGATATAGGCTAAATTAACCGATGAGTAAATTCATCTCCACCCTTCATCCTCGGGATTCGAGCCCTTTGTTCGGGCTCTAACCTTACTCATGATTTTGGTGGGTTGATTCCGGAATGTTCCAAGTCTGCAAATGTTCTGAGACTCACCAATGGAGCGGCTTCTAGATTGAAATCAAATCTGTTCGAAGCCCGAGGGCCTCGGATCTCTAGGCTTGCTCAATACCCTTTCGAGTCCGGGCCCGAGTAAGTTTCTAAGTTCGTAGATTCGAACCCTTTCGAGGCTTAGAGCGATTCGGCCCGTTTGATAACGATCAATTCGAGCCTACCAATCTTGGACTTGCGATAAATTCGGGCCCACCAAGCTTAGACTTTCTGATTGGGCCTAATTAATTTAGTGGGCTCAAGTTAACTCCTCTTACATTTGCCCCCTGCGTGTATGAGAAATTTTAGTTTTCTCGGACACGCATATTCTCACCTTTTCGACCATTCTTCGCATTATGTTCTCAGGAATATTTTGTCTTGACAGAGCCTATGGATAAAGTTGATGACTCACCATAATTTATGAATAAAATTGACAAGTAATAAGACTCTTACTTTGAATATTTTATTTTTTTTTTTTTTTTTGTGTGTGTGTGTGTGGTGTAGATAGTGTTTTTATGTAGTGTTTTGGGGGATTTTTTTTGGATAAATTAAAAATACACCTCAAGAGTTTGTTTAAAATATAAATTGTCTCTTGTAATTTAAAAAATTACAAATATCTTATTATCAAAAAAATTTATTTAACAATATTAACCGAAAAAAAGAAATTCTTAACTGCTCTCTTATGCAATGATAAAATTACCTGAATTATTAATTGAAATAAATTTATGATATTATTAAAAAATATTAATTGATTTCATGATTTATTAATAAAAATGACCATTTATTATTAAATTAAAAACTTCAAGGGTGAAATATAATTTCTAAAACTATAGGGACAATTTATATATTTTAAGAAAATCTTAAAGAATATATTTATAATTTATCTCTTTTTCTAATAGTACTCATAGGATATTTACCATGTTTACTGAAATTGAGTGCAATTTGTTTAAATAGAATTCATCAATTTTGTATTTTGTTTATTTTATTTTGAGAAATAATATTGAAGTGATAATTAGTGATTAGTGCAGGTAATACTACTATGCTCTACGACAGTTGAAAAATTAGTAATGTATAAATTCATAAAATTTATTCAAAAAATTATTTAAAAGAAGGAATCAATTTAAGGTATACTTTTATTGTATATGTGGTCCATCTCCCACTATTTTAAATTCACACTACATATTTATTTTTGGAGTAAAATTTAAGATAAATTTTCATCGTTCATATTTGTAAAAAAAATTTCTATGTATTGTGATCAGTAGATGATTTATGATTGTAGCTTTTAAATTAAGTGTCAAAAAAATTATCAAAATGTGATAAATATTATCAAAATGTGATAAATATTATAAATATTAGTAATTATAATTATAATTTTTTTTATTAATGTGTAATGTAATTTTCCCTTTAAGTATGGTTGAAGATTAGATTTGATAGGTTGGTGTAGAGTGTCACTAAAAAAGCACCAGTAAGAAAGAAAAAAAAATCACAGTTCATTATTTTTTATTGTGTTTTTTTTAATAAAAAAATATAGTAAAAATGGTGTCTCTAATTTTGTTCAGAAAATCATAATGTATCTTGAAGAATTCAACAGCTTTCGGGTGGTAGTAATGGCATTTTTTTTTTTTTAATCTCAACACAGTAAATTTTTTCCCCCTAGAATTTTAGATAAAGTGTTTTTTTTTTTTTTTTCAAGATCATGAAAAATAGATTTGAAAGGGTTTTATAAAAGAATTTCTTTTCCTACAATTTTAAATGAAGTTTTTTTTTTAAATTTATTTTTTCCCTTAAATATCTTGAGAGCCTAAAACGACCATCTTATTTATCTTATGTATAGAGCTGTCAGGTGAGGCAATTGAGCCTATTTCTTTTTATTACTCTTTCTTACCTTAGGTTAGTTTGGTAATGACTATTTTAATAATTTTTTAATTAAAATATAAGACGAAAAAAAAATTGAAATATTTGAAAATGACTTGATTTTTTACAGAAAATTGTGTAAAAAATAAAGAGAATAGGAAAAAATCTTTAACTTTTTCATATAATTTTTTTTGACATTGTAACTATTTTAATCTATTACCAAACCGATCTTAGATTCGGCACAGTGATTTTGTAGCCATACGTTGGGGGTGTGGTGAGGGGAAAGTTATAAGTTCAAACTGATGGAGCAGCGACGATCCCTTTAATTATAATCTAACTTTACTAACATCCTACAATCTTATTCAAAAAAAAAAAGAAAAGAAAGAAATGAGATTGGAACCTAAAAATACACAATAGCCTGAGGTAGACTTTCTGTTAACAGAATCTCCAACCTAATTAGAATCTAAATAAGCATGAAGATCAAATGAGCTAGGGGTATAGGTAAGACCATGAAAAATAGTGCCCTTAATGAACTTGAGCAACCTTTTTACACCAGCATAGTGACCAACAGTGGGATTATGCATATGTTGACACAATTGATTCACAACAAATGAGATATCAGGTCTGGTAATTGTCAAATACTGTAAGGCTCCAACTATGCTTCTATAGACAGATCGATTGACAAAGGGCTTATCTGAATTTGCAGGTAGATCAGGCTTGACAGAGATAGGAGAAATGCAAGCTTTGCAATCCATTATACCAGTTTTAAAAAGAATGTCCTAAGCATACTTCTTTTGAGATAGGACAGTGGTGGAACCAGAGGTATCAACTAAGATGCGAAGAAAATAGGAAATAGAACCAAGCTCCTTTATAGAGAAAGCTTGATACATCTGAGTAATAAGAGCTTGAATATGTGTATTAGCATTACCAGTGATCAATATATCATCAACATAAACAAGTAAGGCAAGAAAGACAGAACCAGCCTTTTTAATAAACAAAGAAGAGTCACATTTACTGTTCTTGAACCCTTGAGACAGCAAAAAAGAGGAGAAGGTGGAGTACCAAGCTCTTGGGGCTTGTTTAAGACTATACAAGGCCTTATGGAGTTTGCAAACAATCTGAGAATGAGGAGGTTGATTAGGAGATTGAACTTCAAACCCTGGTGGTTGCAGCATGTAAACCTTCTATTCTAAGATCCCATGAAGAAAAACATTAGAGATATCTAATTGCTTAATAGGCCAATTGTGATGAAGAACAAAACATAGCAGAACTCGAATTGTTGGTAATTTAGCAACTGGGCTAAACGTTTCCCAAAAATCAATCCCCTCCTGTTGAAGATAACCTTTAGCAACTAATCTAGCTTTATGCCTAGCCACTGTCCCATCTAAATTGCGTTTGATTTTGACCACCCACTTGCAACCTATGGCAGTCTTGCCTTGAAGAAGAGAAACCAAAGACCAGGTGTGTTGGTTTTGCAAAGCTTGGAACTCCTCAAGCATAGCTTGTTTCCAAATAAGGGCAAGTAAGGCTTCCTTATGAGTAGGAGGCTCAATATCAGTATAAGAAAAAGATGCAGGAGTCTGAACAGTAGACAAGGCAGCTTTGGATCTATCACTACAAGAATTTTCACTTTTGGCGATTAGATTTTTAGTCGCCAAAAGTCAGTTTTTAGTCGCCGAAAGGCTTTAGCGACTAAATTTTTTGGTCGCAGAATTAGTAACCGAAGAGTAGTCGGGAAAGCTAATTGGCGACTAAACTTATTTTAGTCGCGAAATGTATTTATTTGCCGACTAAATATTTAGTCGCCAAAGGTTGGAAAAAAATTAAATAAACATTTTCGGCGACCAATTTTTTTGTCGCCAAAAGCCTCAATATTGTTAATGACCAAAGATTTAGTCACGGAAAATGTTTTTAGCTACTAAATATATTAGTCGCCTAAAGTAAATACTAGTGTTTTGGGTACTAAAATTTTAGTCGCCTAAAGTCAAATTTTTTTGGCTACTAAAATTTTAGTCGGCAAATAGTTTTTGTTTTGGCTACTAAAATTTTAGTTGGTAAAAAATTTTTGTTTTGGCTACTAAAAATTTAGTCACCTAAACTCCCACATTTTTGGCTACTAAAATTTTAGTCGGCAAAAGTGTTTTTATTCTTCATCTTTTGTTTTTAGTTACGAAATATCTTAATCGCCAAATGTTTGATTTTCTTTTGGCTACAAAACTTTTATTCACCAAATGTTTGATTTCCTTTTGGCTACAAAACTTTTATTCACCAAATATTTGATTTTCTTTTGGCTACAAAACTTTCAGTCGCCAAATGTTTGATTTTCTTTTGGCTACAAAACGTTTAGTCACCAAATGTTTGATTTTTTTTTTTGCTACAAAACTTTTAGTCGCCAAAAACATGATGTTATGTTTTATTGCAAATATTATAGTTTGTCCATAACTTGTCTGTATTCCATGCAACCTGTAATACGTATATAAATAAAATTATACTTAAACTATCAATCATTTCACAATCTGGATCCATATACAAAAAATAAATAACTTTAACTGTCAAATTACATACAAATCAACTATTGTCCAAACTAAAATAATAATTCCATACAAAATATAGAATCATACAAAAATCAAAGCCCTCCATATACAAAAATTGCATTTACTACCATGTGAAGTGACCATTTGGCATGGTACAAATTACCATCATAATCTGTACCACGACAAAAGGTGATGTATGTACCAAGACAAAAAGCACATCTATGTACCACGACAAAAAATCATATGCATGTACGACGACAAAAGGTGATCTATGTACCATGCCAGTAATTATCTGTTGGCTACCAAAAGTTTTATGTATCAGTAATAGGGAATTGCACAAAAGCCGAAAACGACAAAAGTATTATATTAGTTCTATACAAAAGTGAAATTTCTTCTCCATATACCAAAATATTACTCTGAAAGTCCACGCAACAAAGTCATCTACGAAAAAAAAAAAACATTAGAATTGGACCAAAAAATGCCCAACTTCATGAATGAATTTGGCAACAAGTGACAAAATAACATATCAAGGAAGTAACCTTCCATGATGAATCAATTATCAGTCTTTCTAAAGTCTTTTGTTATAAGGAACATTGTTAAATGCAGAACAATCATTACTAAATCTGTCATTACTAACATAAAGCTAATGTAACAATTTTCTATTTGTATGCAACATGTATCCAAATTCTGTGGCTAAACCAATATCAATGCCCAATGTAAATAGAAAGTATTCTTTTTACCAACTTCCTCATTAATTGTTTGCAAAAGGTACTTGAATCATTAGATTGGATATAAAACTATCCCTACTTATTAATGTCTGACAGCGCCATTTCATTCAAGATATTAGAACATGTGAGAAAAATAATAACAAAAATAAAGTTCAATCACAAAAGGAAATATGTAAAAATGTATGTTGAGACACTTATAAATGGTTCATCAAAGAAAGAATACCGGATATCTCATGAAGCACATGTCCTCAGAAACAGCATTCAGAGTTTGATACTTTTATGAAAGCTTAAATATAATATAACACACTTGTGTACGTTCAAGAAATTAATATAATATAACAAGGCGTATTCAGCTCTAACTCCCAACCTACGGGTCCGGATTACATTCTGTTAGTTGTTACAAGTCCTATTTGTCATGGGAAAGCTACCTGTGAGAGTCACACGGTGGTTCGGGGGCTGTTTTGAATTTTTGCCCCCGAAACGCCCTTTTTCGACTAAGTTTTGGGCGTATTTGACTCCAACTCCCAATCTACGGGTCCGAATAACATTCCGTCAGTTGTCACAAGTCATATTTGTCATGGGGAAGCTACCCGTGAGAGTCACACGGTGGTTCGAGGGCTGTTTTGAATTTTTGCCCCCCCCTAAAATGCCCTTTTTCGACCAAGTTTTGGGCGTATTCGGCTCTAACTCCCAACCTACGGGTCCGAATAACATTCTGTCAGTTGTCACAAGTCATATTTATCAGGAGGAAGTTGCCCGTGAGAGTCAGACGAAGGTTCGGGGGCTGTTTTGAATTTTCGCCCCCGAAACGCCCTTTTCCGAGTAAGTTTTGGGTGTATTCGACTCTAACTCCCAACCTACGAGTTCGAATAACATTCCGTTAGTTGTCACAAGTCTTATTTGTCATGAGGAAGCTTCCCGTGAGAGTCACATAGTGGTTCGGGGGCTGTTTTGAATTTTCACCCCCGAAACGTCCATTTTTGACAAAGTTTTGGGCGTATTCGGTTCTAACTCCCAACCTACGGGTCTGAATAACATTCTGTCAGTTGTCACAAGTCCTATTTTTCATGGGAAAGCTTCCCGTGAGAGTCACACAGTGGTTCGGGGGCTGTTTTGAATTTTCACCCCCGAAACGCCCTTTTTCGACAAAGTTTTGGACTTATTCGGGTCTAACTCCCAACCTACTGGTCCGAATAACATTCCGTCAGTTGTCACAAGTCATATTTGTCATAGGGAAGCTGCCTGTGAGAGTCACACAGTGGTTCGGGGGTTGTTTTGAATTTTCACCCCCAAAACGCCCTTTTTCGATTAAGTTTTGGGCGTATTCGGCTCCAACTCCTAACCTACGAGTCCGAATAACTTTCCGTTAGTTGTCACAAGTCATATTTGTCATGGGGAAGCTGCCCGTGAGATTCACACGGTGGTTCGGGGGCTAGATTTCTTACTTTTTTTGTGTTGATTTCAGATTTAGGGAGGTTGGTTTTAGGCCTAGGCTCAATGTCCTTCATTGCCATTTCTTATGGTGAGAATGGCCCTGTTTTCTGTGGTCTTAAACCAGATAGAACTCATCTTGTGGACTTCTATGGATCAAATTCAGCTATAATCTTTGCAACCCCATTTCATTTCCCATTTGCCGGTCTAACCGCTGGCAATGACTTTGTCTGTGGGCTTCTAAAGGGTTCAAACCAACCATATTGTTGGGGAAGCAGTGCCTTTATTCAAATGGGGGTTCCTCAACCTATGGTTAATGGGTCTGAATACTCTGAAATCAACGCTAGAGGCCACCATTTGTGTGGTTTGAGAAAACCCTTTATCGGAAATCTAAGAAATGCAATCACAAACACTAGTACTACTTCCATTGTTGATTGTTGGGGCTATAACATGATTGCAAACCATGTGTTTGATGATGGACCTGTGAAGTCTATCTCAGCTGGTTCAGAGTTCAATTGTGGATTGTTTTCTCAAAACAATAGTGTTTTCTGTTGGGGTGATGAGACCAGTAGCAGAGTCGTTAGCTTGATTACTAAACAAATGAGGTTTCAGGAGAAATGAACTTGTTGAGTACATAAAGTAGGTACATATTGTATCACTAACATTTGTTGTACAAAATTGTCCTCTTATTTAATCAAAATGATTTGAAATTTACAAATGGTGTTATGTAATAATAAGATGGTGGTGACCTTATAGTTGTCAAAAGGGGTTAAATTTGTGAATTCCAAAAAGAAGCTATTCAATAAAAAGATTCAACATTTTAAGAGTGGTTATGAGGAATCTGCTTGGTATTTCCAAGTTTTTTTGGTAAACATCTATAAGTTTTAGTAACTTAAAAGGGCCCCTGCTAGTCCCGCCCTAGCTTTGCCCTTGAGGCATACAACAATATGATGGCCGATGGGATGATCACACCATACCACAATATTATTGGAACCCCTTACACCTTATCACTCTGCAGAAGGTTCTAAAGCAGCGAAGGTCCCCCCGCGGGCTTGCTACAGC